GGGCGAAGGGGGTAATTTTATTTTATTTTTGGTAAACATAAACAAAAACTCAATTTTTTTATGGGAAAACATAAAACAAAAAAATATGGAAATAGGGGAGAGGGGGGTAGAATTTTTTTTTTAAAAAAAAGTGGGGGTGGATGGGTGCAAGTGGGGGTAGGGGGATGAAAGCAGGGTTAGGTGGAGGGGATGAAAGAGGGGATGGGGTTTTTTTTTTATTATTATTATTTTTTTCAGGGGCTTAGCAACACCCCTAGGCCTTATCATAGATAAACAAAAACAAAATACATAGAGGAGGACATAGACCTTACCTCCAAGCTTATGGTGGTACCTAACATGGCAGATTGCAAAATATAGAAAGCACGGTCTTAGGTGATTTGGCAAGTAATGGTAACTCAATGCCAAAACTCTCATGCATTGAACATTATGACTGTGCTTACCACTGAACTTACATTCTCGGCAACACTTGTCCATTCATCGAATGCTTCACCAACTTTCATCAAAATTTAAGAGTCGCATTTGATTAGGAGGCTTACCTGCGCTAGCATATTCAGCAACTTCCATATTCCGAGTGGTCAGCAGTATTCTGCTTCCACAGTTACAATCTGGGAAACATAGGTTGATATCATCCCAAGCTCGTTCGGTCCATATGTCATCAATGACTATCAAATACCTCCTCCCTTTTAGACTTTTTTGTAATCGGTCAGCTAGTTGCCCATCATCTTGATGCTCATCGATCTTTCCACTAGTCGAAGAAAGAAGACTTAGGAGTACTTTTTTCGCACAATACTCTTGTGAAACAGTAGCTTTTGCACGAATGTCAAAGTGTGACATTATGAATGGATCATTATAAATTTTGTCAGCCAAAGTTGTCTTACCGATGCCCCCAATACCTACAATGGAGACAACTTCAAGTTCACTTGCTCCTCTAGCAAGCTGATCCTGCATGATCATCTCGAGTTCATTTTCATGTCCAACCATCATATCTTGAGGCTCCACAACATGTTGAGATATCGATGTAGTACTAGCAAGATGTGCTTCTTCATCTTTGCTTTTGGTGTACATGTTGTGTATTTCCATCCACTCATTGAGCATGGAATCAACGCGTCCTACTGCTTGTTTCAAGAGAGAATGAAGTTTCCAAAAAGCTACCCCTCCGTTTCAAAAAGAATGACCTCCTTTCCTTTTTAGTCTGTTTCAAAAAGAATGGCCCCTTTCCTTTTTTGGTAACATTTTACTTTTAACTTTCCACGTGGCATGTTTAAGCCCACAAGATTAAAGGGCAATTTTGTACATTTGACATAACTTTAATTTAGGGCCACAAGATTCAAAAGTCTTCTTTATTTTCTTAAACTCCATGCCAAGTCAAACTAGGCCACTCTTTGTGAAACGGAGGGAGTAATATTTTTGAAATTGGATTTTTAACATTTCTTGATTCCAAGTCCAAAATATCTTCTGTAGTGCATACAAATTCTATGATTTCAGCTTCCAAGCTTTTCAATGCATCAAGATCGCCCGTGTGTTTCTCCAGATTAGGTCTCAAAGATTCAAACTTTTCATAGAATGATTGCAAATTACATCCAGTAAGTTGAATAGATTGTTGTATGGTTCTCATTAGACAAGTAATAGCAGCATAAGCCATGTCTCTCTTATGTGTGTGTATGTATATGTGTGATACAATTGAAACTTGTACAATGTCCTATAAGGCTATAATACATAAGTTGATAGTTGTCCAATTTCCAAAATTAAAGTCCATATTTCTCAAATAAAAAACACAGAAACAACAAGATCCCCTCTTTTCTTTTCTTTTTTAACTTTTATCAAATGGGACAGGTTGTTAAGAGTGCCTATTAACCTAACTTTGCTGGTTTCTCTAATAAACAAATAGAAAGATTAAAAAAAGACTTTTGGTCTTTGTCTTTCTATTTGTTTATTAGAGAAACCAGCAAAGTTAGGCAGGTGGACACTGTTAGCTAGGGGTGGAGGTATATATCGAAAATTTTGATACCGTGATTTTGGTATTAGGTATGATATATGGTATACATCTTTTTTTATATATTTGATATTTCGTATAAAGGCATAAGATATAAATATGTCTTTTAACTTGGTTTAAGATGACATCTATGCCCTCCAACTTTGGATGTGCACAAGTAGGTATTCATTTAAATTTGTATAAAATTGAACAAGTAGACACACATGTCATACGTGACATAATACACATATTGTCATGTAGGACGTCATGTCAGATGAATGTGTTTATTTGTTCAATTTTATACAAGTTTAAGTTTCTACTTGTGCACACGAGATAAAGTCCATAGTTACCAGCTGAAGCCAAGTTAAGGGTCATGTTTATGTATTATTAGAAGTTAAAACTTCGACTACTCTATTTTGATTGAAATTTATTTAAATGCAATTCATTAACAAAATAAGTTGTTTGTACTTTCTTTTAGATATATATTTTTACATGTGTAATGTGCTAATATGATACAATTAAGACCATTTTTTGAATTGTCAAATTCATAATTTTTACTCTATTATACGAATATATATTAGTCAAAGTTGAACAAATCATAGTTATCAATTTACCATACCACAAAATACAAAAAACAAACTTTAAAATATCGAACCATACCGAATTAAATTGATATGATAATGGTATAATAATTTTAAAAATCAAATACCGAAATTATGATATCAAATTTCAAATACCTTACAATGATGCTCACCCCTAACCAAATAAAACATGTACATATTATGCTTATTTTGTTACATATTCCTTTTGCATAGGGATTATTAGTTCAAATATTATGACTAAGAATTATTAATAATATGAGCAAATTGAAAAGGTTTTCATGTACGTAAAGATTAATGACAAATTTAAGAGGAAAAAAGAGAACTTGGGTCTTTGTTTTTTTGAGATATTAGCAAAGTTAGGTTCAGTGGACACTTTTAGGATGTGATAATGATCATTAATCTTCTCCTACTCCCACTTAGCAAGTTGTGCTTTTGATAATTAAGTTAAAAACTAATTGTAACTTTCGTTTTTGATCGGTGCTTTTTCTGGACCTAAAGATGGGAGACCTTGAAAGTGGACATGAGGACATGGTGGGTGAACCTTTGCTCTTTTCTGTTTTTTTATATGAGAAATATGGACTTTTGGAAAAAAAAAAATTCCATTAGTGATTTGCAAATTAGCAATTATGAGGACAAAGCTTCATTTTTCAATTGATTCAAACATATTAGAAACAAGGGTAGCCAACCAAGTTTCAAACTTGGTCACATCATCTGTATTGAGTGGCTCAAGCGACTTCCATCAACCTTTCTGCCTACCTTCAATTACTTTGGATATGCACAAGTAGACACTTAAATTTGTATAAAATTGAACAAATAGACACATTCGTCCTACATGACAATTTTGTGTCCTACGTGTATTATATCACATAGGACACGTGTGTCTAATTGTTCAATTTTATACAAGTTTAAGTTTCTATTTGTACACACCCAAAGTTAAAAAGGTTATAATTGTCAGTTGAAACCAGTTAAGGGTCATGTTAAGGAACAGACTTCCTTACTTAAGACCAAAGGTCTCTCTTTCTTCTCAAAAATACGGTTGCAGCGCTAGTAAAAGGGCACACTGATCTGCTCATTCAGTGTGATACTGAAATGCAAATCTCTGTTCTTGTTATACTACAGTTCTGTACTACTTTTGAAACATACTCTGATGAAAAAAGTGGTCGCCTGATGGCACGTTAACTTGAAATGATATGGTTAATGTTCTATCTCATAAGTTGGACAAGCGAATACAATTTAAATCAGCTAAAAAGATAGGCTTAATTGAAAGGACTAACTGATACAGACCTCAACAGAACTTCCATAGTTGTCTTCAATTTCCTGCTGAATCTTCATTGCGGAGTTCCCAACAGATTTTGCAGAGTCACTTATATGAATCAGCTGAAGTGTGGTTATGTCTACAAAGTCCTGCGGGATCGAATACATGCTCCAGCAACGGTTAATGACTAGTCGTTCAAGTCGTGGAAAGTGATCACTACTAGCTCTCCATTTATGCAAGTACAAACGCTTCAATCGCAAGAACTTCAAGTGTGGAAAGCCTTCCTCACCTACTTCCCAATCAGTACCAATGCAGGCATCTTATCCTAGTTTGAGGCCCTCGAGTTTAGGCAACTTACCAAGAAGCTCCAAATCTTCCCAATGCAACCGAGTACCTGTAAAAGCTAACTTCTTAAGGTTCTTCGGAAATGTACCTAGAGGAGGAAGAAACATTGGTGTTGCATTAACCATCTTTTTCGTCTTAAATTTCAATTCCTTAAGCTGATCTAAGTAGCAAAGATTATGGAAGACCTTGTCCTTGTTACTTCTTATGTAGTATTCTTGAATGCCATATATCTGCAGCTTCTTTACATTGGGAAGTAGTCTAAAGACCGAAGAAGTACAATATAACGGATTCCATCCGGACAAACACTGCAAATTTCTCAGAAGCCAACTTCTCTCTAGAGACTCATGTTGCTTCAAGTAATTCCAGTCTAAAGAGAGGTGTCTCAATTGAGACATTTTGAAAATTTCTGATGGTAATATGAAAGGGCGAGAATACTTCCACGTGAGAGATGTTGGAGACTTAAGTATTAAAGTTTGCAAATACTGAAGGCTAGCTATTGATGGTGGAATGTCAATACCTCGATCATTAGTAGACGAGTAAACACTCAGAGCTAGGTATCGCAAGTGAAATAGTTCAACTATACAACTGGGAAAAGCATTCAATGTCAGCAAAGCAAGATCTAGTACTCTTAGTACCTTGAAACGCTTCAATGCTTGCATCATTCTTGAGCTTGAGGGATCATCAACAAAAAGGAGAATAGAGCAGGAATCATTATTGTGAACCATAGACAACCGATTGACAACAATTTTCGATTGCTTTGATTGGATACTGATCCGAACTCTCTTTGTTGAAAAATGTCTGGCTTGTTTAGTTGGATTTTGATTGTCCATCATAACATTCACAAAATTTATTTTTCGAGCTTCTCTCAAGCAGAGTTCACGGATCACATCATGCATTCCACAAGCTTTTATTTTTCCATCAAAACTACTCACCCTTTGGATGAAAACTAAACTTCTATCTACAAGATCTTTTAGACTTTGTTTAGCCACTTGTTCCATGCTTTTCGTCTTGTCTACCTTCAGAAAACCTTCTGCTGCCCATAATTTCACAAGTTTATTCACAAAAATCAATTTATCCTCTGGGAAGAGTGCAAAATATAGAAAGCACGCTCTTAGGTGATGAGGCAAGTGATGGTAACTCAAAGTCAATACTCTCATGCATTGGACATCAAGATCTGTGCTCACCACTGAACTTACATTCGCGGCAACACTTTTCCATTCATCCAATGCTTTACCAATTTTGGAAAGAAGTCCAGCTATAACAACAATCGTTAGAGGTAATCCTTTGCATTTTAATGCAATTTGTTTCCCAACTTCATCAAATTCAGGGGGAAAACAATCCTTCGCAAAGACCTTTTCATACAATAAACTCCAACTTTCATCAAAATTCATAAGGCGCATTTGATAAGGAGGCCTACCTGAGCTAGCATATTCAGCCACCTCCATATTCCGAGTAGTCATGAGTATTCGGCTTCTACAGTTGCAATCTGGGAAACATAGTTTTATATCATCCCAAGCTCCTTTAGTCCATATGTCATCAATGACTACCAAGTATCTCCCGCGTTTTAGAAGCTTTTGCAATTGGTCTGCTAGTTCCCCATCATTTTGCTCCACATAAGTTTGAGCATCAGTCTTTCCACGTACGGAATAAAGAAGGTATAAGAGTACATTTCTCACACAATACTCTTGTGAGATGGTGACTTTTGCACGTATATCAAAACAAGACATAACGAATGGGTCACAGAAAATTTTGTTAGCCAAAGTTGTCTTGCCTAAGCCCCCCATCCCAACGATTGAGACAATTTCTAGATCACTGGCACCTCTAGTAAGTTGGTCCTGCATCATCTCGAATTCATTTTCATGGCCAACCATCATATTCTCATGCTCCAAGGAATGTCGAGATGTACTGGCAAGAGTCAAATTCTGTCCTTCTACATCTTTGCTTTTGGTGTACATGCTCTGCTTCATCATCCTGTTGT